TGAATGTTCTTTGTAACCTTAGACTAAAATCTTTGTAAAACTAGAAATAATTAATGTGCTGGGCCCACTTCCAAGCCAGATGAATCTTTATGTTGACCTATAAACAATTGCAGTTTGAATTAAACAATAACTATTGATAGCTTAGAACAATGCTTTGAGAAAACTGCTTATACTTACCCATGGAAACAACTCCCTTGAGTCAAATCAATTAACTGGAAATTCCTAAGTTAAAAATATGGTTGTTTTTTTATAATTTGAGAATTATTAGTGACTTGCTCTCACCACAGAAGTGTGCCAATGCATAGTCTCTGGAAAAATATTCACGTGGTATAAATGCTTTTAATCAGGGTCTTTTCAAACAAAAGCCTTCTTTTTGTGATAACTGAGGGTATAGTATTGTTAAAGTTGGCCCGGTAATAATGTAATTCCTGCAGTGAAGTTCATTTTTGTTTAATATTTCCACATTGACTAATTTTTCTCCCGCCCCCTCCTTTGCAATAAAGAGAGAAAAGGGAAAAGTAAAAACAGGGAAAGTTTTTTGGGGGCACCCAGACACTTCGTGTTCATTCAGTTCCTGGTTGGTGATAATTTCAATTATCCTTTTTTGCTGAAGTGCATCAAGTATTAAATTGTATATTATTGTATATTTGTTTTCATATTTTTCTCAACAGTTGGATTATTGTGGGGGTATTTTCTTTATAGTGTTGAAAAGAATCTTGTTTTGTTAAGATATCTTTTCCCTTCTCAGCAGAGTTTTCAAATATTTGGAAGCCAATATGTGGATAAAATACCCAATAAAACAGTAAAAATGAAAAGTGAATATCCAATTGGTTTACCATAGTAACAAATAAGTTAATTTAATGTGCATCAATATGATTTAATTTAATTTTATACAGAAAGATATTAGCATTTTGATGGCTCTAATAAAAAGACATCATTGTGCTTGAGGTATATAGCTAAGGGACTTCATTTAACAAACACTAATCTAATGTTTAAATATACTCTACACGTTCTAAATAATAAAAAGATAAACAAGGTTTCCCAATCAAAATTCCACTTTGTTTTTAATTTTAATTTCTTCAACAGATTTGGTAGATGTGGAAGTCAAACTGAAAGATGCTAGCTATATTTTTTCCCCTTTTTTTCCCTTTCATAATTTAAGCCTTCCAGAGTCTTAATGCCTAACATAATTACATTCTACTTGAGCCTTTTATAGTAAAGCAAAACAAACAAAAACACCAACGACAAATTATGCTATTAGAATTGGGCACTATCTAAGAGCACTCTGGATAGAGAATAATAATGGGACCAAGCAATGGCCAAAGGTTGGCCAACATCTCTTTTTCGAAATAGAGAGATATGTATTAGAATTAGGCTAAATAGTCTTATCTGAAGAAAGCCCAATTGGTGTAGTAGTTAAGGCATCAAGCTAGAAGCTATTCTAGTCCCACTTTAGGCATGAAGCCAGCTGGCTGACCTTGTGTCAGTCACTCCGTCACTCAGTCTCAGACTGAAGAAGAAGACAATACAAAACCACTTCTGTAATCTTGCCAGGAAAACTGCAGGGACTTGTCAAGACAGTCGCCAGGAATAATAATAATAATTTAAAAAAAAAAACTGACTCAGGCACAGAAAAAAAAAACACCTTACCTTATTACTCATTATTGCATTTATACTCCATCTTTCCTCTGGGTGTTGAAATTGCACACCCTGCTGCCATCTTTTCCCACAATATCCACCTGAGGGGTAGACTATGCTGAGAGAGAGTAACTCTTTATTACTTGGCCCAAGTTATGTAACTGAGGGGGATTTAAACCTGCATCTCCCTAGTCCTAGTTCTGCACCAGAATCCCTACATCACACTCTTCGCACAGAATTCAAACCATATTTGATTGTATAAGAGCTCATTGAGGTAACAAACAATATACTCCCGTGAGCAAGATTTTTAAGAATATGGACTTAAACATGGACCTCAAGGTTCAAATTAGAATATTATAGGACTGTTGTTAACTACTTTTGTTTAATAAAACAAAGACTACTAATATAATATTAGTATTATAATTATTACTACTTTACTAATAAGCTCCATTATGTGCTGCCAGTTTTAAAACATGCCCAGTGTCAACTTTTTTTTTAGTCCTGTATATTGGATTCAACAGGACACACAAGACGACCTAAAGTAAAACAGTAGTAACCCCATTATTGCTATCAAGATATGCAATGGTCATTTTGCCCTCTTTTATTCCAATACAGATTTCATGGTAGGATTTGTTAAGCTTATGGAATATTTCAGAGGGCTTAAGAGCCTAATGTTTTAGAGTTGGAGTCAAAGGTTTGTCCCTTTCTTCTACTGGATTCAGTTATAGCCCTACAATGCATTTATACTTGGGGGAATGTGATCATATCCAGTCCTAGGTCATAAGGTTGAGATATTTTATTTTGGTTCTTTCTAATAAACTGGGTTCTGTTGTTTTACTTTCTGCCATAGCCATCTCCCAAAGAGAAATCCTTTCAGCTTAGTCTGCCTGCATCATGACTGTTAAGAGCATGACTATAGTATCATTGAACTGATGGACGCACCATTCACTTATTGCTCAAGTTATGTGGAGGGTTGCTTACCAGCATTCATGGGATTCATTGTCTCTTTGCATCAAGCTAATTTTCTGTTTTGCCCCCAAGCAGAAGTTTGCAAAACTGTAATGTATTTATAAGACAAGAGTGTTGTCCACCCCATACTTTCTGATCTGGATTTTAGCTGCAACTTTCTCAGGATCACATGCTCCAAACCAACTTTCCCCAACCTAACATCTTTGAAATTGAACTCTAAAGAATTGGGGGTGGGCAACCTGGTTCTGGAATATATGTTCTTCTCAAAGGACACATATGTACTCATTCTCTAAATCACACACACAATGCTAACAGGATTAACAGATGTCCCCTATTTCGTTGGGGGACCACAAGGGCGGATGGTGAAGTGAGATTCCAAACAAGTCTTTTGTTTTGTTTATTTGTATCCCATCTTATTATTTTTACAAATAACTCAAGGAGGCAAACATATCCAACACACCCTCCTCCTCCTATTGTACCCACAACACCAATCCTGTGAGATGGGTTGGGCTAAGAGAGAGTGACTGGCCCAAAGTCACCCAGCTGGCTTTCATGGCTAAGGTGGAACATAAACACATGATCCTCTGTTTTCTAGCTTGTTGCTTTGACCACTAGACCAGTGATGGCTAATCTTTTCTGGACTGAGTGCCCAAAGCGTGCCCGAACCCCCAAAATGCAATGCATGTGTGAGCACGCCCCCCCCGCATGTACCACAACCCCTGTGCATGCGCAGCAGAGACCCGAAGACCAGCTGGCTGGCGGGAGGCGTGTGCACGTGGGATCTGAACTGAGGCAACGGCTTCCGTGCCCAGAGAGGGCGCTGCGTGCCACCTCTGGCCGCATGCCATAGGTTCACTATCACAGCACTAGACCAACTAGCTAGTTGTGAAATGAGAGATGACACATTTCATGCCTATAGGCAACTCATCCTCTGACCCAGAACCTTTCATTCGGACTTTTGGGTGGACTACCCAGTTGCTGTACTTGTAAAAGATTTTAGTTGATCAGATATTCATGACAATTTCACAGATCGTAGAACTGACCCTGGCATTGAAAACTTTCACCAGGGCTCTACGTTCCAGGTGAAACCTGTAACTCCAAATTCCTTTTTCATATTGCTGTTATAGAGAGCCAGTTTGATGCAAGGCACCAGTCTAGAAAATGGGAGAACCTGAGTTCTATTCCCGCCTTATGTATGAAGCCAGCTGGGTGACCTTGGGCCAGTCACTCAGTCTTGACCCCTAGGAAGAAGGCAGCAATAGCAAACCACTTCCAAAGAACCTCACCAAGAAAAAAAAAACTGTAGTGACTTATCCAGGCAGTCTCCAAGAGAATGGAATAGAATAGAATAGAATTCTATATGGAGTAAGATTAACTCAAGGCATCAAAATAATACTAATAACACATGCTATTAATAGGTAAACGTTGCCTGTGATTGTTCTGCCTTTCAACAAACAGCCTTCCTATGCCAAACCTCAACCAGCCTTTCAGTCTTACAACAACAACCCGAGGAGGTAGCACAAACTAAGAAGTAGCCTTTTGCCGAATAGCAAAGATTAGAAAGCAGCAATAACCGAAAAGCTGAGCATTCTTTTACGGTCCAGATGTCCACTCATGTGACCAAGCCGGAAAGAAGAGTAGTCTCGAAAGCTGAGCTAAACATTGGAAAGCACGAAGGGGAGTTACAGGCATTGTAAACAATGCGAAGGGGCAACCCTGGATTTACAGGCAGCCGCGCTCTTTCTTATCCCATGCCAAACATCACGCTTTTTTTTTTCCTCGGGCCGAGTCGACGGGAAAGCAGAAAAGGAGGACGAAAAGCCTCCAGCGAGGCTAGACCAGAGACGCCATCTCGTGCCAAAAGGGCCTCGTGCTTCCAACTCTTCCCCTCCGAGGGGGGAGTCAAGAGGTCGGGCGAAGTCGCGTTTCTGTCTCACTCCGAGAAGAAAAGAAAGTCCCTTCTGGGCTCCCTAATCCTCTCCCCCCACCCACCTCCCTTTGCTTAATGAGGACGAGGGGAAAGTTTCCCGCCTCCTGGCACATGCAGGAGCCCTTGGCTCCCCTTTCCCGCTTCCCGGCGGCGGCGGCGGGGGCTTAGCTAGGCAGCTGTTCCCACCTCCTCGTGCCTGGCAGCCCCTCTCCGCCCCTCGCAGCTCTCCGGGCCGCCTGCCAGCCGAGGCTTCCCGCCCTCCCTGCGTGCCTGTGTCTCCGTCGAGCTGAGGGAAACTGGCCCCTCCTTTTACCCACGTCGACCCCTCCCTCTCTGCCTCCACCCTCCACCCGCCACTCCCCCCCCCTCCCCGCCAAAGCTGAAGCGGAGCTGGTGTTTTTCCACTCACCAGGATGGGTGATGCTCAGCGCTCGCTCATTAGAGAACAGACACGAGAGGTCAGGAAGAAAGCGCTTATAAATTACCGTTTCTTCCTCCCCATTGCTGTTAGTCTGCCTTGCCGCTCACGCCGAAGCACATAAGGACGGAGGCAGAGGACGCCAAGACGCTGGACAGCTACCTGGTCGGAAAAGAGCCGCTGCTACAGGTACCCAAGGCGGGTTTTTCGGTCTTTTGAAGGAGGGAAGAGAAAGCGAGCCCGACCACCACCGCCGCCTCGCCTTCTCGCCCTCCTTTCGGGCAACCAGGAACAAAGCAAGGCATATGAGGCGCCCCTCTTCCTCCCCCCCCACCCCACGTCTTTGTTATTTTCTCCTGTCCAGCACCAGAAGTGGGGTGAAAAAAAAACCCACCCCCAAACCAACCTCCATTAAGGAATGGTGCTTCCCCCCCTTCTTTGTACCGGGTTCTCCAAACGACCCCTTTCCTTTCCATTGCCCGCCTTTGCTTCCTCGCGCCTGCCTTTCGCTCCGCACTTTCCCCGCGCCTTGTTTCCGAGCGATTCTCCCCCCCACTTTTTTTTTCTCTTTCTCCCTTTTCCCCCTTCTCTCTTATTAGAGCATGGCGGTTGCCTTTTGTTTGCGTTTGATAAAATGTGCGGGCACAGGCACCTTTCTGATGAAGCCGGGGTTTTTTTTATTTTGCCCGGCTGGGTTTTTTCCTCATCGTCCCCGGCGGTCAACCTTCGATACCTTACGTGCACTTTGGAATAACACACACACAGAGACACACACACACACACACACGCACGCACAGAGAGGTATTGCACAGGAAGGGTTGAAGTGGCATTAGCCGCTTGTGTGGCAACGCTTTCCGTCTGATTTCTTTTCGTTCGTGCGGTGGGGTGGGGTGTTTTTTTTTCTTCCCCTCCTTCCTTCCTCCTCCCTTTACATCTGCGAGCAAGTGCTCGCCTCTTCCCCCGCCGCCCTCCTCGCGCTTCTTCCTCCGCGCGACGTGCGATTGAATTCAATCGAAGCACGCGGCTCGTCTTCAAAAAAAAAAAAAAAAAGAAAAGAAAAAAAAAAAGAAAAAAGAAAAAGAAAGAAAGGAAGGAAGGAAGGGGAAAAAAAAGCGAGGCAGCGGACGGCAATTAGGAAAATTCGAACGCGAGCATTTGCTACCTTCGCGGCTTTGCCGGCGCATCTTTTAATAAGCTCTCTTGCGAATTCGTTCATTCATTATTATTTTTTTTTCCTGGAGGGGAGAGGCACCTAAAAGAATTGTCCTGGGTATTCTTTGAAACTTTGCTGGCAAGAACTGAATCTCAGACTTGCTTCGGGGTAAAATAAAAGTGATCCCGAATTTGCCTCGCTTGTTCCTGGAATCAGAAGCCAGCCTTCAAAGGGAGTTTAAAAAAAAAATACTCGTTCGTATTTAACCAGATTAACAAAAGGGAAGTGGACCGACTTTTCGAAAGGGCATCGTCTAAATTTCCGTATAAGAACCTAAAGAGGAAACGGCTTTGCGTGTCTTATTTGGATCGGCAGATGGCTTGTTGGCCACGTTATCATTTTTTCCTTCTTTTTATACCTTTTGCTTGACTGGAGAGCAAAGGTGATCGTTACCTATCCAACGCCTTTTTGGAATAAGGAAAACAAAAACTGGAGCGAATGGTTGGAAAACGTTTGTTTGGGTTTTTTAAAAATATGTTACTGTTGTAGTCATACTACAATACACCCTTGGGAAGAAAGCTCAGTAGAACTTCCAAATCATTACTTTTGAGATTGTGTGTGTGTGTGTGTGGGGGGGGGTTTGCATTAAAAAAAAAAAAGGTGAGATAGGTGTGTCGTTGAAAAAAAACAGTTTTGCTGATAATGGCTTTTGTAATCTGGAGTTGCAGCTTGGTAACATTCTGTAATCTTTTAAAATGGTGTTTCACACAGGTTTACACACACACACACACACACACACACACACGCATAATGTTTAATTTTAGGGGGGGAACCCAACACATTATTCTAGGTCAAATCTTTGTGTCCTTGGGACATGATTGGGTATATATAGCTTTGTATTTGTGTTTGAGTGGGTAAAATGATCCCAATAGAAGAACTCAAAAGAGTCTGTTGAAATGTTTATCTGTAGACATTGCTTGGAAGTTTGATATATAACAACAGAAAAAATATGTTTACATCATATTTGAGATGAGAGGGTCATATACTTTGATAACGCTGCCACTTGTTTAAGTTAAGTGCTAAAAGTGAAAGTGGTTGAGAAAAAGTCGTTAATCTTAGTAGCAGTAAACACATTTTGTCTGCTTTCCGTATTTGATTATTCTTTTATCTGCTTAAAAAAAATACCTTGGCTGCCTCTTCAAGTTTTCCATGACTCTCCCAGTCATAATCTATTCTGGTCCCCAAGGTCTCCCTTTTTTATTTTCCTTTACCACCTTCTTCTGCTGTAATTTATCACTCCGAAGTGATATTATTTATTAGCCTTCAAAATCAGCTCTAATATTTGACATCCTATCCTGTAGGGGGCAGCAGTAGGAATAAGGCAAAGATACTGTTATATTTTACTACAATAACACAGAGAAGAAAGAAAAAAAATGTATGTGTTGGTCCAGAAATATATCAAGCCATGTTCTAGTATGGCACTTAAAGCAGATCTAGTTTGAGAAAGCACTTTGTTTTATGGATGGAAATGCATGTGTTTTAGGAGTTGGCATAACAAACATTATATTTATGCACTCCTGGAATGGAGATTTAGGAAGTGAACAAATGATCAGAAATACTAGTTTATGAGTTGGTCATGAATTGAATAATTAGGGACAGCATGTTTGGTATTCATGCTGAAAAAAAAATCTAATATACGTAAAGGTAAAGGTTCCCCTTGCACATATGTGCTAGTCGTTCCTGACTCTAGGGGGTGGTGCTCATCTCCGTTTCAAAGCCGAAGAACCAGCGCTGTCTGAAGACGTCTCCGTGGTCAATTGGCCGGCATGATTATATATGAATATACTTAAGGGTAACATAATTTTGTCCCCCCCACTCCTGTTAGAATAAAATATATTCATTTTTTAGCCCACCCCTCCTCTTTTTTATGTGGGAGAAGAATGAGCTTGAACTAGGAGTGGCTAAAAAATATGGTTTTAATAATAGCACCTCTGAACATAACCAACCTAATGTTCAGGGCAAAGTTCACAATGCAGAGAAGATGTGTAATTTGATATTTTCACTTTTAATGGAGTTTCATTTTTATTAAAATGAAGTTTGAAGGATTATCAGTGGGATCAGTGAAGGAGTGTAGCAGAATTAGATGTTTATCCCTTTCCCATCATACCATTCTTCTTCATTATATAAGGTGTTGAAGTTTGCCCTTTGGGTAGTTGTGAGAGCAAAGTATGCAAATACTTTTATAACATGAGAATTTTCTTCCTCTTTATAATGCAGTTAAAAGTGTCATAATGTTAGGTAAAATACTAAGATACACTTTGTTTCATGTTCAGCAATATTGTAAAGCTTAGTACTTATGCCACAGCTTGCGTGGGCTGTGAGAATTTGTAGCACTTTTGAATAGGAGCTTGTTGGAATAGCTATTGAATGTAACTAAAGCCATGTCAGACTAGCATTTTCTATATTGTGTGGCTGATGCTTGGCTATTGGCAGAATCATTCTTAGGCACTGGAAGTAGGCTACATCTCTATGAATATGCTACAATTATCTTCTATTTCACTCTGTGTGTTTGTTGGATACAGTTGAAGTTGGAGTTAAGTGCAAGTAAAGTACACTAAGCTAGAGAAGGCTTTTTTAGAACAGTTTTGTCAATTTTAAACTTGATTAAACACATTCATACACACACATGGTTATTAGATCATTCTAGTCTGAAAATCTCATAGGTTGATTGGGCTTGTGAATTTGAATAAATTATAATTATTTTCTTCTTCTGTAACACATCATTACTCTTATTTGTCTGAGTATTTATTAAAATATTCCATAAAATATTCAAAGGATATCCATGACTTGTCCTCTGTGTATGGTATACTACCTTTTGAAAACAGGCGGCCAGTCCAATTATGATAGAATGGTATACTTGCTGTTGAAAATCCATATCTCCACAGTATTAGAGCTCCATAAAAATGCTTGAAAGTTTGTAAGCACCCGTATATAGTTATCCCCTAACTTTATTGTCATAATACAAGCATTAAGCCTCAGTGGCGCAGTGGTTAGAGTGCAGTACTGCAGGCTATTTCTGCTGACTGCCAGCTGCCTGCAATTTGGCAGTTCAAATATCACCAGGCTCAAGGTTGACTCAGCCTTCCATCCTTCCGAGGTGGGTAAAATGAGGATCCAAATTGTTGGGGGCAATATGCTGAGTCTGTAAACCACTTAGAGAGGGGCTGGAAAGCACTGTTAAGCAGTATATAAATCTAAGTGCTATTGCTATTGCTATTAAGTCTTCCTAATTCCTCTGTCTGAAAATTCTGTTTGTAATTTCCAAAAGAAAGTTTAAAATTATTTTTGTTCTCACTGAGATAGCACTAATACAAATACATCTGTAAAATTTATTTTTCACCAATCTACCTCAATGTGATGCCCTCCCAATGTTTTAAGAAGAAATCTTCTAGAAATCTTAGGCAAAATTCTTATCACAACACAACTGGAAGAAACAATTTTGGGAAGTTTTCACTTGTCTAAAGATGTTGCATCAACAAGGATGACTGTAATTTATTATGCTTTTGGAGAAAAAGTTGTAGATCATGGTTTAAGCTTATGTATAACATATAAGTAGGACACTTCAGTAGAAAGTTACTTTTAAATTACATATCCTTTAGCGCAGCCAATAAATTAATATGAATACAGAAGTTTATTATTTGTGGAGATTCTTAGTCATCTAGTTCATAGTTGTCTCAAAAGTGCTTTTTCAAAAGGCAACTGGAAAATATAAATAAATGGAAGTTTATTTTGTGGAAATGGTTTAAAATTCTGCTGTGTTTGGTAGTCTGCACTATGATTTAGCTTTTAATACCATACAATAAAAAACTCTGGCTATCTTGTTGATTTGATATTTATAACTTTATAGTGATTTAATTGAGCCAGATATTGCAAAACCCCGTAGCACATATCTAGGATTGCATGCTTTGTTTTTGGTTTTTTAAGAAGTAAACATTCAGGTATTTTGTTACTTACACAAAATAAACTCAGATTTCAC